TGAATTTCACAGGCAAAGCCCTCATGAGAAGACAGTTTAAACGCAAGCAAGCTCCATTACTGGGAGCTCAGTCGCTGGTATTACATACTTTAGCCTCCTACAATAGTCCATGGAGAAAGGTGCAGCTCCAGGGACAGATAAGCTGAGCTGTAGTTTGATTCTTAAATTTCATACTTTAACTCATCCTATGAAAGAAGGAAAATTTCGAAAGCAGGGAAAAAAGCCTCCTCTTTCAAAAGATACCCACACAGAGTCACTATGGGACAGCTTAGTCCACTTCCAATCTGCATCTCCTCCCTTACTGAGGATGTTTGTAACAATCGGTGAGACTAACCTCCAAAATATCTTAGAGAAATTCAAATTTTAAAAAAACCTCGTTAGAAAAAGGCCACAGCCCTTTCCCTCACTGTGGACTGTGACACCTGTGCCCCACCTCAGTGAGGACCTATCCAGAATGGGACCAAGGGCTGTGGTGTAAGGAGGAATTAAATTACACAGCACCTCTTCCAGCCTTTTTCACACATAAAGGAAGAGGTGTGAAGCTCTGTGATGGGTTGGCAAGAGATGTCCACACAAGGGGCAGGAGAGCAGACTCCACTGGAGTTTTGATAGACAGGTCTTTCCCCTCACCTGCCCACTGCAGTCACAGGGTTCACTGAAGTTGACGTATTCCTCCTCTCTACTGTACATTCCCAGGCCAAGCTTGGTTGATTTTTGCTCAGAGTCCAGCTGGAATTTTATCTTGGCCAAGCTGTCAAAGAGTTTGGAAAGATGACGTTGCACCTGCAAAAAGGAATTGTATAAATAAAGCAACTGAGACAGGAGAAGTAGAATAGAGATCACTTGTCATGTGATCTGCATGTCACAGGCCCAATCATGGTCACAAAGCATGATCTTGGTCATCTTGGTAGCACCACATCTTCTCATATATGGCCTGGATACTGCCAACACAAGCTTGGAACTAGATGTTCTTTAAGGTCCCTTCCAACCCTAACCATTCTATGATTCTTGCTGGCTTTCCCAATACTTCCACCTATTTCTATATCGTTTAGAAAACAGATATGCCCTAATAAATTGTATTTCCCCATTTGGAAACCTCCCATGCAGGGCAAAAGCACAGAAAACATTCAAACATTGCATGATCTCCTAGCCCAAATTTCCCTACCTGTAGTGATGAGAAGTCTCTAGTCACTGCTCCACCTCATCCTATTCTCATCACATTGGGGAGTTTTCTTCATTTTGAACCTTTCTGTTTCTTCACTACTAGAAATCAATTTTGTGCCGATGAAAAGTCCTAAATTCTCCTCCATTGAGAAAGAGACCTTTATTTCTGTCCAAGATCCATGATAAACAGCTCAACAACCCAGACCTTCTACAAAACCCCCATCTTGATCAAAAGCACTCTTCCAGAAAGAAAAGAATAATCCAGTCCTGTCTTGTTCACACTCGGCTGAGTTTGCAAAGCCAACAGGGAGATGCCAGCATTGCTGCTGCAGGCTCTGAACATCAGGACCTGCCTGCTGGGAGCTGAGCAGGCCACCAAGGCTTCTTCTAGATGACCACATAACACACAACTAAACCACTGCATGTCACACGCCACTGCTAACAAAGGCGAGCTTCTCCCAGGGCTGATGTTCCCACAGCCAGGGTCACTCACAAAGCTGTCCCAGACAGGAGCTGCCTCTCCCATGACAGCCAGAGACAGGGAGAGGGACAGACTCCCACGGGTGAGACGAGGAATGATCACCTGGTGCTTTCAGAGAAAGATGGGTGGACTCGTCCCCTTAATTCTCACAAAGGATCACAACGCTCCTTCTCACAAGCTGTCCTGCAGGTGGACAGAGCTAAGTAACCTTTCCACTCATGTTCAAGGAGGGGCAAATACTGGAAGGTGCCAAGTACCTCTGAGAAGCAAAAGGCATACAGCATTGCCCCAGATAAGCAGATCTCCTCTCAAATATCAAGTACACCACAGAAACCTTTCCCTACATCTCGGAGATTCTGCTCACAAATCCCCACTGTCCCTTCCCAGACCCTGGCCATCTGCAGGGCATCAGCCACACTCCAGCAATCCTGCCACCAGAGCCTTGAATACACCTGAATCTGCACAAGTTCAATACTCAGGAGTTCAAGAGGAGAATATCATCATGTATTTAATCCTCCTGTAGGAATTATCAGGCTTGAACCTACAGTGGAAAGGCTGAGAGGACATCCGTGCATGATCCTACTTGACATTTACTTTGATTTTACTGCAAATAGTTTTAAATAACAGCAAACACCAGGAATCTCTTCTTACTTCATAGAGCATTTCACCACAGTACCTTTCGTCTGCTTCCTGGGGCTTTTTTCCTCTCCATTTTAAGTATCAATCAACTATGGATTTACGATACTCCACGGGCTGAAACCACCCAGCAGCAGAAACAGAAATCGACAGTGTTAAAGGTTAGAGGCAAACACCAGCATCTCCAGATGCACCTGCAATCCTGCTCCACTCAGGTGCTCACAGGAATGCTGAAAATGATGAACAGCTTACAGTGGGATTACTCATGAATGACAGATGGAATAAGGAATTCATTCCCCATCCAACACTCTGCCTTTGCTGTGAACATGTTGATGGTTTCACACACCCACCTCAGGATAAAGGATGGATCCCGACCAACATGCCAGAGCACAGCATTGCCAGGCAGAGTGCTCAAGGTTTCCTGACAGCAACTCCTGTAGCACCAATAACCAACCTTAATGCTGCTGTGATCTGAGTGGAGAAACATCTGCAGGACTGAATGCAGCAGAGCATTCAGAGCATTTCAGAGACCTGGAGCAGCTAGAACAAGTCCAGAGAAGGGCCACCAGGATGATCCGAGGGCTGGAGCACCTTTCCTATGAGGACAGGCTGAGACAGTTGGGGCTGTTCAGCCTGGAGAAGAGAAGGCTCCAGGGAGATCTTATAGCGGCCTCCCAGTACCTGAAGGGGCTACAAGAAAGCTGGGGAGGGACGTGTCATAAGGGCAGTTAATGACAGAACAAGGGGAAATGGGTTTAAACTGAAAGAGGGGAGGTTTAGATGAGATATTAGGAAGAAGTTCTTCACTGTGAGGGTGGTCAGACACTGGCCCAGGTTGCCCAGGGAAGTGGTAGATGCTCCCTCCCTGGAAGTGTTGAAGGCCAGGCTGGATGAGGCTTTGAGCAACCTGGTCTAGTGGAAGGGGTCCCTGCTGATGGCAGGGGGGTTGGGACTGGATGATCTTGAAGGTCCCTTCCAACCAAAACCATTCTATGATAAGCTACAGGAGAGTCCCAAGACAGCCTCTTCCATTGTGACATGACCGGCAGCTGGAAAATGCAAAGGTGATGCAGTACAAGGCTTACCAGCTGCGGGTTGGTGCCGTTGGAAAGAATATCCAACAAATCTGCAGAAGAAATGAAGTAAAATCTGGGAAAGGTCAACCTCTTCATGTCCAAATATTCAGCCAAAGCCTTCTCACACAGAGACAACCTGGGGAGACAAAGTGGATAAATAGAGCTCAGGAGAGGTGGACAAACATCTTTTCATGTTTCACGCTACAGTTTGGGTTATCAGGCAGACTCTCCCCTACCACGGAGAGGGGAAAGGCCAGACATGAGCTGAGCCTGCAGCCTGGTCCTCTACAGCATTTTCCAAACAGGTCAGCAAAGCACGCAGCAACTCTCAGATCTCTCTCCGCTCCCAGGGGTCAAACAGCCCAAGAGTCAGAGGAACCTCCTAAAAGAAGCAGAGACGCAGGTAGAAGAGTCTAGAAAGGGTTTGCAGAGTGACCTACTGTGTTAGACAAGCTCTTAACTGCCACGGGTCATTTCACACTGGGATGAAAGTTTCCACAGCTGCTTTTATTCTGATGAGCCACATTTTGAAGTCTGATTCAAACCTACTCAGCTTTCTGTGTTTGCAAAGCTGGAAAGGAAACTTCTTTGCCCCGATCTAAAACGAATCTCTGTGCTTACATGCTAAACTGCTGCTGAGCTTGCAAAGTTCATAAATAACATGCAGCTATAGTCCTCTGTGAGGAGCGCTGGCCTTAGCTGATTACAAATATATAATAAAATCTTTATTTTAAATGGATTGTTATTATTGGCACAACAGCCAGCACATGAACTTTTAAGCGTGTTCCACGTTAAGTGAGAAGTGTATCCACTCAGGACACTGAGGTCTTCCTCAAGCAGTCTGGCTATACCATGTGTGAAGGGTACACACACAGAGATGATTTTGTAAATTAAAGAACATGAGTTGAGTTCTGCTGCAGATACCTCTGCTTGGGCTTCTAGATGGACATTGAAGACACTGTATTTGGGGTGGCAGGGAGGTCATGTGTTATAAAAACCACCTGACTGCCTAGCTTTGTGCGTGTGAAAATCAATATTTGGGATAAGAGTCTGCACGTACACAAAGCCAGACTCCACCTGGGGGCTTCAGGTTGATGGATCACAAATAAAAAGACTTGAAAAAGATCAGAAATGCTGCGACTTGTGAAGGCAAAGAATGGACAGTCCAGGAAGAAAGCCTTGGAGCACAGGCTAAACAAACTCCTTAGAGCTGATCCCAGCCTCTGACAAAATCCCAGCACTGAAGTTCTACCTACCTACTCTGGATGTCCTCCAGTTGTTGGGACAGACCTGGTTTATTGGTGGCCTCAACTACATTTGGGGTTCTCTGGACTTCATAGGCCAGTTCTTTAAAATCCACATCAATCCCTTCAAAGCGTTTGGAGTCCTAAAAAGTGACACAAAGAACAGGCTCAGGGTGGAACACTGATTTTGTGCTAAAAGATCCCATTGTCTGGGTGCTGTCTTTGGGTTGAGGCGAAAGAGTCTCTGCAGAAAACCTTCTGTCCAGTGCAGAGAGGGACCTCTCCACCATTTCAGAACGGCTTTTCCATCCACATGCCTGAAACAAGTCTCCGATCAGGCAGTTGCCTTCTTGTCAGTGTATCCCAAAGGGGTTGTGGATGAAGTGATCCAAGCAGAAGTCAATGCCTAAGACCAAGCATTTTCATGGGATTGAATTCCCTTTGGAGTATTTCCTCATAACTCGTCCTCCCCTGTGTCCCCATGAAATACCCAGTTTCCCAGGCCACAGCACCAGGAGATGCTTCCATATGGGGAGAAGGCCACTGACTTCATTTGAGTTCACGCTTCCCCTCCTGCTACAGCATAGGAGTCCCAGTGCCCATCCCTGAAATGAATGTGATGACACTTGCAGGAGAGTCAAGGCCGTGGAAGCCCCACATCAGGAGCAGAGGAGCACACTGACAGCTATGCTCTGCACCTAACAGGAACCCTGAATTTCTGGAGCTAAACAGTGAAGAATAAATAAAGCTATATTCAAAATGTCTCTGTTCCTCCCTTCTTCCTCAGTCAGGTCTCCTGAGTGAGCCAGGATGCTGGATAACAATGCTCCAAGCTTTCCTGGTAACACTTCCATGTTAACATGTGTTCAGCCCTGGTAGCAAGCCTCTGGCTGGAGGGTCGAGCTCTCCCTGCACACAAGCCATGTAGCCAGCTTCAGATGTGCATCCCCTGCCCTGCCAGCACATCCTCCCCCAGCCCTGAACGCATCCCAAGGAGGTTCAGCCTCCAGAGGCTTCGAGCTTTATCCTTTCTTCTAGGGAAGGGAAGAGGTTGCTGGTTCGTGCCACCCACCAGATGGGCACTGAGATGCAGACAGCTGCCCAGCAGGATGCAGATTTCAATCTGGATGTGATTTCCCACGTGCCGTTAGGTGGCTGTTGGATTCCAACAGCCCCTGGCACACGGCACAGCCCTCAGGGCCACCTGTACACACTGCCCAGTGAGCCAGGTGTGCCCAGGGCACTCCAAAGCATGGGGAGGAACAGTCCAAGCAGACCAAAGGGAAGGGACAGGACAGGGTGGTGTGTCATCCAGGTGTCACTGGGCTGTGCACAGCCCCTCCTGGGTGTCTGTCCCCCAGCAGTGCTGGCAGTGACAGCAGCCCCCGCTCCACCTCAGACCTGTCGCTGCACATGGATGGGGACGGCGGTGACACAGGCAACTGCAGCTCCCTCATGAGCAAAAGGCACGGCTGTGAGTGGTCCAGCAGGACCAGGAATCAGCTTGGAAAACAGTTTTAATTAATAATTAAAAATATTCCCTTAATATTTTAAGGGAAGCTAGAATAAGGCTGGAAGCTGGACTGACAGACACCTCTAGGGAGGTCACCAGTGACAACTCTGTTCCATTTTCTGACGCAGAATTGGGAATTTTGAAGCAGCTGCTGTTCCCCAGGGGTTGGTACTGGGTCTGGTC